CGCTTCGCTTCAATCCAGGCTGCCTAGTGCAACAGCCTGAGACCTAGAAAAGCAGAATCTCCCAAAGACGGGCCGCGATTCTCTGAGACCCCTGAGCCGGAACGCAACAACCGGCTGCGTAGCTGTGGAAACCCTCCACTCTTCTTGTGAATGGCAGGGGGCTGCCCACGTTCCCCAGTACCCCTGCAAGCTAACGCTTCCTTGCCAACGCTCTAGTTTTTGGGGCTTCTGGGCATGAGCGAGAAGTCCTGCACAACCTAAAGGCTTGTCCTCCTTGCTCAACAAGACCAACACGACCCAACCAACACAACAAAAAAAAAAACGACTGACCGGACCGACACGACCAACACAAGCAAAGGCCACCGACACGACCAACCCCGACTGACACGACCGACACGACTCTGTACAAACGACCAGACCGATGGGGTGGGTTTCCTGGGGCACGGTCATCGTACACAGGGGATGTTGCAGAATGTTGGAGGTGACTGAAGATTTGCCGCACACGGGGCGTTGCGAGCACTTGGACACATCGTTGGCTCAGGCGGTAGCTTGGGGACGCCGAGCTCGAGGATGGGATGGTGTCCCTCAACACAGAGAACACATGTCGCATGCACGTGGCAGTCAGTTCAGACATCATCCGGGCTTCCAGCTATCCCTGACTACCTTGGTCCGCAACATGAATGTCTCCAAAACAATTGGTGTCTCGGGAGCCGTGTCGCAGGCATCTGGCTTCGCGTAGTCCAGCCTGGCACCCGCAGATGCCGGACGACCTCATCTCTTTCTTCAACGGTGCGAAGCCAGAACAAACAAAGTCACTGAGAGACGCACGCAGAGGCTGTGGTGCCACGCCCCCAGTCCCAAAGGGACGCTGCCGAGCCTAAGTCCGCTCCTTTATGGCCAGTGCTGTCCAGAAAATCGCATAGGCTGGGATGTTTATGTTTCAACAGCCGCTTCAAACTGATCTACGAAGAAATGGGGATTCTGCACGATGCGAGACTGCCAAATTGAGGGCAGCGGCATCAGGACCTGAGAAGAGCATGTTGGTGTACCACATATTGATCTCTTCCTCAACTCTCAGGCTCAAGCACGGATACGGGGCTTTCGGGACCTGTCATTCCCGGACATACTTTCCACTCCAGCCTTGTCCATATTTGTACTTGTACTGGCATAAGGAAGAGCCCCAGCAATTCTCGAGCCAACCCAGCACCAGCCCCCTGCCCAGCACGATGGCAATTTGCCTCCCGCTGCCTCCCGCGACCAATGGCCAAGGCGGACATACGCTTTTACAGTTCACAAAGCGGGCGACAAGGGCCTGCCAAGCCTGGGTTTTGGTGTATGGGCGTGCCTGGGAAACCTGCCGTCCTTGGCATGTGCAATAATGAGCTGCCATCATCTTGCCCAACTCCAGGTCAATTTTTGGTTGCTGGCGCGCGAAACTTCGGCGGCCTGAGTCAGCATGTAAACGTGAAGATGATGCGACTCGCATGACGCAAACGAGATGCATTGCAAAGTGTGCAGGAGAAAGATATCAACATCAACATGGCTCACGCTCTCGTTCATCTATTCTACGGAAGATGTTCTCATTCGTGTGTGAGACTTCTGTCTACATGTGATGCGATTTGAGTTGCGGCCGGCTAGCAGCCAGTGCAGGTCTGGCATGTCTGGCGAGGTGAAGAGCGCATGCCATGCTGCCCCAATGGCGCAATATGGCGCAATGTCACGCACATCTGCTATCAGCTGCCAGGCTGGTAACGGCACCACATTGCCGCACTCATGAAATGTACGAGACGGTCTCTAGAACCCTGCGCCAGGCTACCTGAGCAGCCTGCATGCAAGGCTTTTCCGCCTCCGGTCTAAAGGTGATTGAATCGGTCGAACAGCAGGCCTCAGCTGAGTAGCCCCCTAGCTGCTTGTGAAAGAGAAATGCAAGAGTTTGGACCTGTCAAGAAACTGCGTCCATGTTACTCAGGCGTCTGCGGGTTGGCTGCCGGAGCCTGTTGTGTCTCACTGGCCTCAGCCAGCCGTCAAGCCGGGCTAGAGATTACGGCAGTTTAGCAGCCGAAACTGAGAAGGGTGCACAGTGTTGCACAGCACTTGCGAAGTTGAAGACGTGGACACTCAGGGTTGCCTGCTGCTTGCCGCAATAAGGCACAACTTTGTTAGGCTTGAGTCTTTGTCAAGATGACCTGATGGTACCCAGGAGAGCCGCGCCTCAGTGCACAGGCGCTTGAGGTCCTCAAGCCACCCACATCTGTGCTTCAGGCTGAGCACGGGGCTGAAAGTCTCGAAAAACCGGAGCTGAAGCCGGCCGTTTCCTGAGTGAAGGCATCCAAGGCATCCAAGTGTTTTACCCCGGAAGAGCTTTGGAAAAAGTCAACTTCAGCAGGCACCTGAAAAATGCGCGGACGGCACGGATACCAGGCACCTCCATGCTGCCATATGCTGCAATCTTGAAGCGCAACGCACAAACTGTTGGCCTCTAAGTTCTCCAGCTCGGGGGCCTGCGTATTCCCAACCGCTCCCAGCTGAACGACTTCTTCAGCTTGCTTCACTTTCCTTCAGTTTGCCTCATCTGCATCTGTCAATTCACCTCCAGGCCAGCCTGCTGAAGCTGGAAATATATCCCTTTTGCACTCCCTTTTTAGGAAAGGCAACTTCGCCTCTACCCTTGGCTTCAAAAATGATCTCGTCTCCATGAGAGAATTGGTAGACTCTGCGCCTTCGGAAAGCAAGACATTCAGAACGTCAGATCGGGGAAGAGCCACAGAAAAAGGATGCAGAAACCCTTCTTAGCTTCTCATCCTTCTCACAGCTTCTCAGCTCGCTGCTCGTTTTGAATTGGCAGCCTTAAACACTGCATGGACATGTGTCCCATCATCTGCATAGACCTTGCGCGTCTGAACCCTTGCCGCCAAGATACGCCATCCTTGCCTACATTCTACCTACGCCATGCTTTGGGCTCGATATGCCATTCAGCTGCGATGCTGTGGGCCCAAGCTGGTGGAACATGTTCATCTCAGCCCCGGTCAGCCACAAACGTGAAAGCATCAGCTGCAATTACTGCCTCTATCTGCGTCTCATTGACCCCAACACTGCGTTTTTTCAGCTCCTGCACACTTGCAATCACCCGTTCGGAAAGAAGGGCTTGTGCAGCACGCTTGTGAGCTGCTTGACCTCCCCAAAAGCTCCAAAAATCAGCTCGTGCTGCAGCACGAATTTGCAATCATCAGGTATCCAGGAGAGGAAATATCGCCTTTTTGTCCCCGATGCCGGAGCAGCGCAGAAACTCCTTACAGAATGAATGGCGACCCAAGGTGCGCGCAATTCTTCCATAGGCGGCAAATTGGGGTACACGAACACACCTTCTCGCCCCTCCTTCTCCGTCGCTCGAGTAATCTGTGCGAAGGACCTCACATGAGATGGTAGCAGAAATCAGCTCGAGACATTTTTGGAGACACAAGACACACCCTGGGCAAGCCACCCGAATTGCGAGGCCAGCAATGCAGCGTCGGACTTGTTAACTCCCTGCACTTGCAAAGCAAATGGCCTACGAGGCACAGTCGTCAGCAGTGATTGTTCTGTGCGCCTTGATGGTGGTCAGGACCTCTAGGAGACGCGCTCGGTTGTCTCCCTGCGTCACACGGCTCCTGAGGGCCTGCACACTTCGATTGCTGTGCAGCTGATGCCTCTGAGGCTTTCAAGCTTTGCCACTTTGCTCCTCAGCACCCTTGCTCTGAAACCGGTGAAGGGTCTCCAAGTAGGCCGCAGCCTGCAATCGCTGCACTTTCCAGCTGCAATGCTGCAAGGCGCTCTTGGACCTCTGCATCTGTCCAAGCAAGGAGCAGCGACAGCTTCCCATGAAAAGCTGTCAACGTTACCTGTGCCGCACAAGCAGCTTCGGGGACTCTTCAACCCTGCAAATGCAAGGACCCTCGCCATCCTGCTCCAGAGCTTCCTCTGGCTGGTCAAGGTCCACTCGACATAACAGCACCCGGTTGCGAAAGTCGCCTGCGCACAAATACGAACTTACTCTAGCGAATCCAGGCGACCATGACCGTCAACACCGCACATCGCGCTGCCTAAGGATTTCACTCGCCCATTCAGGTACTCTTGATGGAGTCGCCTAGGAGCTTTCAAACCATGCGCTGAACAAATCTAAACCGACATATGTGTTTCAGAAACATAAGGATGGCTGTGACGGTCATCATTGAGGTTCCTCTCCCTACAGGTATCTTGATGCCTAACCATCCCAAACTATGCGCTGCGACCAAAGCTGATAACTGCTGCCTTCCAAACTCTTGCTTGTGGAGAAACATACTGGGTGCTGCAATCAGCTATCGACGTGAAAGCCCGAACATGGTTCTAAGTCATGCCACGGAACTGAAACTGCAGGCTGATGAATATGACTGCGGTCTCTGGTCCTTGCTTGGACGCATCTGTTCATCCCGAACCATCAGGATGTTGAATTCAGAAGGCTTGCCAACCAAGAAATCCGGTTTCAGGTCCGTATCTTCCACAAAGTCGACGTGTGTAGACCTGCAAATAATACCAAACTTGTGTTGCCCTGAATCAAACCAAGTATGCGGCCTCACACAGTTGACAATGGGATTTTGCTGCTGGCGAGCTTTAGCCACAATTGCCTGCATCACTTGCAGCGCAAGCCTGACATGCAGTGCTGTCATGAGTGCCCAGCCTGTTGAGACTTCCTGCGCAAAGCACCTTGGGATGGCTGTTGGCCATAGGATGAATCGTACAAGTGAAAGTGGAGTGGAAGCACCTGACGCTCCTTCTCTAGTTTCCATTGTGCTGCGCAGCACGGACTACCAGCGTGGAAGTTGCATTTGTTTGGAGGTCACTGCAGTGTTTGGGCTCGAAATATGTGATGCAGGGCACACATCTGATACCAATTTCATCGGCGTCTTCAAATGGCACTTGCAATACAAGCTGACAGGAACACTTGACCAAGTCCACAAATTCCTCCCATTGGCTTGGACTTACCGACAAAACCTGCATCATGGCTACTGTTGATATAACGTTGCCACGCATCCCGCCATGCATGTTGCAAGAGATACGTCAAGTGACGCTGCCAGTATTTGGGAGAGGCTTTCCTGCAAGCCGCCACCGGAAGGGCAGGCCAAATTGCAATTGCCTCATGCTTATACAAGATGATGCCAAATGCTTTCCCTAAGCCAAGCTGCCTGCACCAAGCGCACCAACTCAAATGCAATCGGCGGATGCTTCTTTCCCTCCTTGGTCAAGATAGGCACTTTGGCCCAGCAGTCCTCCCTGCTCCCGTTGAGGATGCAGGAGGGCTAACGCCCTTTGGCTTTGGCCTTCGGCTTCCCACCTCAGATCTCCGAAGGTACACACCGCCTCGAATCTAACAGAACTCGCTCTGAAGGCCCCGGCCTGACTTGGCACCCGCCTTTGCCTGCGTCTGATAGCGTCAATTGCTTAGACAAGTTGCGAAAAGTTGGTCGTAATTTTTTTCCGTAGTTGTTCCTCCATGTTATGTGTCATGATTTTTCCGGTTCCTGATGTTTCCTCTTCCTTGGACTAGAGAGTGAGTGTTGAAAGTGATTAAACTCATGAGAAGGCATGAAAGATCATGAGATTGACGCAAAATAAAAAGGATTGATAAGGACGAAAATGATCAATATGATGGAAAACCTCAATCATGAAAATGACGAAAACTGATGGTAAAAGACGCAAACTGATGGAACGCCATGAAAAAAAAAAATCAAGAAAACACCGTTCAAAATGACAAAAACGAACAATGCAATTTTTAATTTGTGTGTAATTGTGAAAAAGGAAAAATTGAAAGTAACCGTAAATAATGAGAATGACAGAATTGATAAAACTTGATGGAAAATCATGAAAATGATCGAAAACAAGATGAAAACAACAAAAAACCTGGAAAGCATAAAAACTGACAAAACTGATGGAAAAATCATGGAAACTGATCAAAACGGATGAAAATAATGGAACATGATGACAACTTTCGAAACATAATGCGCACTACGAAAAATGGCACAACATGATGGAAGACTATGAAAATGATGAAGACGGATGAGAACTGATGAAAATGATTGAATAACTGGTGGAAAAGGCTGAATAGAAATAATGAATAACGAAACCCATAAAAAAGTTTGAATATGATGAACACTGTTGAAAATGAAAACGGCATGACAAATTACGAAAAGTACTGAAAAGGGACTGCGATGACTCAGATCAGGAACCATTATGACAGGTAATGAAAATTATGAAATATGAGAAGACGAAAAATGATAAAATGTGATGGAAATATGATGAAATTTTGACGACATGTGTGGCAAAATGACGCACATAATGAAAAACTTTTTACCAATTAGTGACGAAGACTGATGACAAACGACGCACGTATTGAAAAGCGATGAAATATCATGAGTAATAATGTAATGTCATGAGACGCCATGAAAAATATTGACAGGAAATCCATTACGAGGGCAATTGCAGAAAAAAATATTAAGGATGATGAGAAAGAGCTGTGCGCATCTGTTTGCTACAGAAAACAACAGTTGGGGGCTGGGGCGGCTCTGTTTGCAAAGCCTGGACGAAGATTAGAACATGCGCGTTCTTCCGACATTTTTGATCTTGAAACATGGGAGTCAATGCTTATCAGAACGAGAACAGAACAAACAGCATTTCAAAACCTCTGCGTCCTGCCATTGTAGCTAAGAAATCAATGAAGCTGCTGAAAAATGCTGAAAATGAGGAAAACCTGGAAAAGTTGAAAAGCATAAAGAATTGTTTTGACAAAATCTGGGATAGAAAAACTGAAAAATTGAGAGTGTCGGCGTTGGGGGGGATTAATTATTAATGGGTCTGCCCCACTTGACCCACTGGACCCACTGGACCCACTTGCCCCACTTGCCCCACTTGCCCCACTTGCCCCACTTGACCCACTTGCCCCACTTGCCCCACTTGCCCCACTTGCCCCACTTGCCCAACGTGCCCCACGTGCCCCACTTGCCCCACTTGCCCCACTTGACCCACGTGCCCCACTTGACCCACTTGCACCACTTGCACTTGACCCACTTGCCCCACTTGCCCCGAACTGAGTGGAGCGAGTGGGGCGAGTGGAAGAGAGTGGGGGCGAGTGGAGCGAGTGGGGCGAGTGGGGCGAGTGGGGGCGAGTGGGGCGAGTGGCGCGAGTGGGGGCGAGTGGGGCGAGTGGGACGAGTGGGGGCAAGTGGGGCGAGTGGGACGGGCCGCGTTAATTTCCCCCCCCCCCCGCGGTCGCAATGGAAAAATTATGAAACATAGTGAAACATGGTGAAGGCATGGTGGGCTGATGGAATACGCTGAAAATAGTGGAAAATTATGAACACAATGAAAAAGCAGCAAGATCCCTGAAAGGGATGACATTATAAAGTATGCTGAGAATGCCGAAAACATGCATAGAGTGAGACGCGACCAAGGATAAAGGGCGGAGTATGCTGAAAGATGAGGAAGATGATGAAAGATGATGAAAAATTGCCGAGACACAATAAAATATGATGAGCCATGCTGCGACAGGAAGAGACATGACATTTTTCTAGCGAGCACAGCGAGCTCCCACCAGAACCGGGCAGAATGAACCCCAGAGGCCAAGAACTATGTATATACATGTGACACAAACACAGCACCACGTTAATTGTGATAGGATTACCTCCCTTCAGAAGGCTGAAGGCCTTAGTGCGCCAGCATTGGCACTAGAAAGGATCAAGCCTTTGGATAGCCTGTCGTTTGACTCTCTCCAAATGTGCAATATTCTTAGGGTCGGATATTGCCATGGGTCCTTCTATGCTTAGATGCCTCCGCATATGTCTCCAGCAGCCACGCAGACTTGGGGCGACCGACTCTTCTTGTTGAAGCTGTCCTGAATCGTAAATTGTTTGCGTGAAGCACCACCTTGTTGAACCGGGTCAGAGCTGGATAATCTGAGGATGTGACCAACAAGTTTTAATTTACCCTTTTCCATGTTTCACCGAAATGTTCAAACTTGCAATGAGACGTTTGACGTATTTCTCGATACATTCGTTCATTTGTTTGTTCTCTATCCAGAAACGTGGGAGGCTTTCTGAGGATGCGTCGAAGGCTTTTGCTTTGAAATGCGTTCACTTTGATATTTCAGCGCCCGCAATTGTATACACTCAAGCCCATATAGTGATTTCGACCTTATGATGGCAGTGACAACGTAAATATTCCGCTTGACAAATGTGTTAGCTTCTGTCCAAAGGATCTTTAGTCGATTGCACGTTGCTATGCAATCACCCAACCGATTAGCAATCTCGGCTTTATTGTCGACTGTGTCCGTCAATAATGTACCTGAGTATGTGGCTGACCGTTGCCTTAGGACTGGTCTTGCTGCTGCCGGGCCATGTGGAGAAAAGCGTACAAATAATGTCCTCTGATTTGCTGTAAGATTCACACATTTCCCACAATTCAATTTCAGACCAAAAAAGGCACTGTGGCGTTCAATGGCATGTAACAGCTTATTTATGCATTTGAGTATTGGCGCCAAATATAAGCGTGTCGTCTGCAAAGAGGATTTCGGAGAAGTTGATACCATCAATCGGCTGGAGTTGTCTGGGTGTGCAATGGTTCCCTTTTGATGTCCGCAAACAAGGCCCCCATCACTAGCGCAAACAATATGGTGGTAATGTGCACCCTTGTCTAATGCCAGAGCTTTGAAAATTCCATTCCGACTCTATCACCAGATCGCACTTTGAATTGAGGATAGGCGTAGAGTCCTTGATCAACCTGAAAAGTTTATCCGGGACTTGCAAGCGACGCAATACTTCAAGCATTTGTTGCTGCAATATTTCGTCAAAACCTTTCTCCCAATCTAATAGAATAAGTGTACTGGCGGTTCTAGATTTCTCCGAAATGTCCTGCAATCTGCGCGCCATGAATATTGCATGTGAAGTGCTTTTGTGCTTCCGGAAGCCGAATTGTCTGGCCACCAGCCACAGGTCCAATCCTTAGTCAAGTCTTTCTTTAATCAATGCTGCAATTATTGTGTAGCCTGCGTTGAGAAGGGAAATGGGTCTGTAATTTTCTAGCATAGAAGCATCGTCTTTTTATACATATCGATACTACAATTGCTTGCAATAAGTGGTGGGCCATTTCTGCTTTTGGTAAGCAAATGTTTGCCGCATGCAGTAATAGTGTTCTGTTTGGCGCATCCTGGAATCTGGTCAGCTCCTGGTGACTTGTTATTTCTAACTTTTTGGAGGACATATTCAAATTCAGGCGTTGTGAAATGAGAATCGTCTACTCGGTAATTACCATTTTGGAGTGGGAAATCTTCACGCGATCTTGGGTGATCATCCAGGTCTGGCGCTTTCCATTGAACTTGTTCAAAATATTTGGCTGCTTTACTGGCATAGTCCTGAAACGGGACATGGTTGCCCTCTAGGTCTGTAATTTTTGTAGACGAAGGACTAAACTTGGCTCTGAGCTTCTTGAGGCCATCCCATTTGTAGCCTTGAGCCGTGATTTCTTCGAGCTGTTCCAAAAGGTCATTTTCCCTGTCTTGTTGCGCTTGTCCCTTTATTTATTGATTCATTGCATCTGGAATATCTTGATCACCTCTCTCGATAGTTGTCCTTTTTTCTCAAATAAATTCCAAGCGTGTTGTGATGTGTATCGCATTTTTATGTCTGGATGTTTTTTTTATCAAATGATTCATTGGCGCTTGTCAACAAAATGATATTTAATCGGTCAAATACATTGACTTCCTGTTGTTCTTGTTGTCGGTCATCCGCAGCATAAGTTCGGATTCGATCATTGTAACTTGACAATTGCTCAGTTGAGGGCTCATGAAACCTGGTGGGTTTGTCTAGAAGTTGGCGCTTGCTATCAGGAGTTTATGGTCTGTACCCACAGCGTGCACAGCTGTCGTGGTGATGATTGTGATCTATTGTTTCTGCTGTGAATTTATGAGGAAATATTCCATTTGCGCATGACGTAAAGGATTATATACCATGAAGCTTAAGGGAACATGAAAAATGAGAAGGATTAAGATCAAGAAAACGGACAATCAACACAATGAATGTGATAAAAGTGATGAAACCTGATGAGACATGACGTAGCCTCATGAACATGCTTCAACAATGAACATGGATGACATGTGGTGAAAATGATGAAAGCTCATGGAAAGCGACAAAAAAACTTAGGAAGATAAGAGCTTGCTTGCTTGCCTGCTGACTGGCTTGTTTGCTCGCTCTTCTCGCTTCGTACTCTGCCCTTGCAAAAAATCTGAGACGCAGAAAAAAGAATACTGGAGGAACATAAGATGGCTTGATTCAAATGCTGGCTAGTCTGAAGGGACGGGTCACAGCCCAAAGCTCTCTTCTGTTCATCCCCCCTGCAGCTGTTCGTTCCTTGTCGTTGTCAAGGGCCCTTGCGCTGGCCTGTGCTGATGCAACAAGTGGATTTTGCAATGGGGGCACATGTTCGTCTCATCACCTTCCAGCCAAGTGTCTGGAAAATTGCGAACTGGCACTCCAAGGTTTTCACAGGGACAACTTGTTTGCCCTTTCCTGCCCCCTTCCTAGCATCGCTGCGTAGCACCACCTTTTGCGCACGAGCTCCAATCCTCGTCTGAAGTCTTCCACACTGTCATATTTCCCTACACACTCCGCGTGAGGTTTGCCACGCTCGGTTGCAGTTCTTGCTTTGTCCACTTGGCTGTCAAGCCCCTTCCTGCTGACATTGTGGAAGGCCAGAATCAAGAACAGCTTTGCACTGCTCTTTTTGAGTGTGTCGTGGACCTTCCCAGTCAGCTATGTGGGTTTCAATGAGCAGACGGCAAGCCTCCTAAAGCAGCGACACAGCGCCTTTTTGCTGGAAAACACGCGTGAGCCTTAATAGCCGCGCGGCTGTCGCGCTTCTCTATGCTGCTTGTTCTTGCAAGCCACGTACATGCCGTGTGCACACAGCGACCCCACCATGTCACAATCATATTGACACGGGTCCAAAACTGCCGCATCTCTTTGATGCGTCAGAGCCGGTTGCGCACATGCACGGCCAAAAAGAAAGGGGCCAAAATGGCCTTCCACCAAGCCTCCGGCTTGAGCTGCTTTGTCAGCACATCTCCCAGCTGGCACTCACTCGGCACCCAATGGAGCGTGATCTTCAGCGGGTCGTCGACGGCAGGCTTGTCCGTCCCTCTTTCTCGGTGCCACCACCCTCGGGCCTCGTTCAAGAAGATCTGGCGAAGCGAAGCCAGGTCGATCACCAGCCGCTTGTCGGCCGTCGCCTTCGGAGCCCCACATCGGTGGACGAAGTCGAAAAGCGACCGGCAGTCCGTGACCGCGTGGACCGGGATCATCCTTGCC